CCCCTATGGTGTCCATGGCTGACAGTGGAAGTTGTCATCCACTTTTGTCATCCAGGAGCCTTTCTGATCCACCTGCCTTGTGATGGTTGAGCTGCAATGTTTCTCCTGCTCTCTCTCAACCCTCAGCGATATCTCACAGGCAGAGAAATGACTTGAGTAGATCTTTATTTGCCTTGTGGCTAGAGGCTGCTTATTGGTCTGTTGGTTTTTGCTCTTCAGCTGCTTGTACTTCACACTACTCTAGTGTGACTTTCTAGTTTTCAGGCCTATTTATTTTTGCTTCAGCCTTCAAGGGATATGTGGGAATGTCTAAAACCAGCTTTGCTTCTGAAGAAATCACAATGTGAAACTGAATCTTGGAGCACTGAGTGTGTTCACCTACGGTGTTGTTTTTTGTTTCAGCCTCAGATGTTTATGGTAATCAAGGTTTTCTCTGGTTTTTGGTGAAGGGGTCTCAAAACTTAGCCTTGCTAATGTGCAATTTGGGCAGTATGTGCCATTTTAAACCAAACGTCATCCGGCTAACAACCTACCTGCAGAGAGGCTCTCATTTGTCAAGGTTTGCTTGGTTTTTTGGTAAGAGGGTTTTGTATTGGTAGCAGAGATGAAGCTGTGTTGCAATTTGTTTATTTCACAATGGTTAGGTATCTAAAGCCTTAATGCCAGTTATGGTTTACTTCTGGTAATGTAAGTTGTGTAACTTTTTTGTGAGTGTTTACCCCTTTCTTTGCATTTTTTTTTTAAGGTACTTCTCTGCTTTTCTCCTCCCCTGCAGTTCTTAGATATTCAGAAGTACTGTTCAGACTACCAAAATTCAAGTTGAATAAAGCCATTTCTTATGAAACTAATAAAAGTATGAAATAGTCTCTTGATATTTCCCCATATAAGCTTTAATATTCAGCCAACCCTGTCCAACCCTGTCTCGAGCCTTGAGTCATACTTGAGATGTTGGCATTTGGAGTGAGTTTGCAGTGATCTGGAGTCCAAGGCAAGTTTTCTATCTACAGTCATACACGATGAATCAGCAGTATTTTGTCTCTGAGACAAGAAACATAATTTATTGCTGAAAGACCCTTTTTTGTCTGTCTAACAATAGGATAATTTTCTGAATATTTAGGAAGAGCAATTTTTTGATTAAAAATACTTTTACCACTGATACGGTAGTTGAATTATGGTCTGTGGGCATCAGAGATTAAATACTTGTTGTGGGGAGCTCTCTGGAACTGAGCCTGTGAAAAGGATGTATTATGCTGCAAATTATTAAATATTGATTTCTGTAGCAGTCTGCAGGCATCAATGAATTTAGCAATATGCTAGTAAATAATATGAAAAAGATTAATATCTCAACCGAAAAAGTAATTACAAATATGTTTAAATAATGATTTTGGTGCGAGTTAGATTTGTGGATACCAGAGAGGATTCAACTTTGGCGTCTTGCTGAGTATCCAAAACCACGTAGAAGATGTTCTCACGTAGGACTTTTGCAGCTGAAGTTCCCAAAATTTCCCGAGTTCCGTGAGCTGTGTTGGATGTGCGATGTTTGGCTTTGGAGATCACAGCCGCACATCAGAGGGAGCGAAGTTTGTTCTTTACAGACTTCAAATTCTTCTGCATCACTCTGAGGTTTCCTGGCAGCCTGCTCTGAGACAGCTCAGTTAAGCACAGTTTAGCCTCTATAGCAAAGCTGTTGCTTGCAAGTCGTTTGCACCAGTGATGGTTTCTTTACAATGGTTTAGAGAAGTTGTTACTGCAAAGTGTTTGCTCTCAGCATTCATTATGGAATTACTTCTCCGCAGAGATGAGCAATTTAAATTTGTCATTACTTTTTCTCTCGGTGTGAGTATTTTAGAACAATAACTTCCTCCAGAAGAATGAAGGAAATGGATTTCATGGTCTTAATTTTATGTGGAGGGGAAGACAATTTTCATACGTTATCCCTAAGCATCGCTTAGATATCCACGTGAGGCACATTTTTGACTTGCTGCTTCACTTTGTTCATGAGACAAAATTAATGCTCTTCTGCAGACGTTAGTCTTTAAATTTCATTAGGAGGTGTGACAACATCTGGGTCCTTAGGTCAATGAGAATGAGCAGACAGCTTTAGTTGCAGCTTGCAAATTTGTCTTACATTTTGAGAGGTCTATGTAGCAGCAGAAGTGGAACTGCTTATTGCGTATAAAGGCATCTCTGTGTGAACTGTTGTTGGGACTAAATGAATAAGAAAAAGTACAGTATTTGGGGAAAATCCAGAGGTACAACTTGGGCTTTGGTTTCCACAATTGCTAATACAGCTGAAATACCAGCTGTGGGACGACTGCGATGAGTGACCTAAGCAAATGTATGCCGTTGATCTCAACGTCACAAAATGCATAGCTTAGGTAAAGAACTCATGAGAAGCTTGAGTAAAGGATGAGGTTGGGGGAAAGAAGCTGGCTGATATAGACAGCTGTTCGTTTGCTAAGTGCAGGTATGTCTGAGTGAAAGACTGTCACCCCTGTGTCATGTGGAGACTATCCTTGTGACCAAATTCATGGCATGCAGACATACAATCCGTTGGCCTGTCCCTGCCTTGACCATTTATTGTTTTTATGTTTTTTGCTAAGGTATCTCGAGGACATTTGTAGTACATTAGGTTTTATTGTGTTTTGCTTTATTCTCCGTGCTGCAATAACATCGGAGGCTTGCAAGGCCCATATAAAGGATGGCAGAGGATATTGGCATCCAGGAACAGTGCCTTCAGTCCCTTGGGGCAGAAACTCAAATGTTGGCTATTGCAGGCTGCCTAATGCTGTCACGGTGCGTTCCAGCTAGGCTGAAAACTGTCCCCCTAGGATGAGCGGTGTAGTCATCCCATTACTGATTTATGGCTGAAACAATCTAGCACAGGGTTGATGGCCTGATACTTCTGAGGGTGGTAATACCTTAGGGAAAGGGTGAGGATGCGATATGTAGATGAGTCAGATGAATGCTTTCAAATGAGCTGTTCAAGTTTTGCATGACTAATTGCACAGTTAAGAAAAAAAAAAAAGAAAGGAAAAAAAAAAAGGCAACAAAAAAACCCCCCCAAAAATGCAAAAGATCTTGAAAGGCTTGAGATTAGGAGACAGCTCAGGAAGCTTTGATTGTTGTTAAGGTCAGTTAACTCCAGACCTGTAAATGACCTGTTGGTGAAGTTTCAGAAACATATCCTTTCAGTTATGGTGTGAAAGCATATGGCTTTTTTAACATTCAGGAGCTCCTCTAGTAAGACTAAAACTAAAGATGATGAATATGTTTTTACTAAGATTTTTTTTGAAGGCTTAAAATGAAAAGCTCCCCATTCCAACCTTCAGCCCTCTTTAGCTGTCACAAGACATGTTCATACTGCAGTCACGCAGCTCGTGACCGCATCACAAAGCTACTTTAAAATCAAGTAACTTAGCTGCTACTTGAATATTTAATCAACTTTTTGGCTGGGTTTTATTGCCAACATCAGATCTCATAATGTAAGCCGTTTGTGTTTTCGTAAGCCGTTTTCATATATACCTATGGAAAAAAAGGAGAAAAGAAAAAAGGAGAAAGAAACCCATTCTTCCACCTTTCATGTAGCAGCTAAGCTTGAAACTAGCAAAGTCATTAAGCGTAATGCCAAGTGTCAGTTGCGCAAACAAATGTGTAATAATTGTATTTTGGATCCAGCAGTGTTTTAGAGCAAACTGTTCATAATTTCCAGCAGTTACTCTTGCAAAGTGCATTTCTTTCTTTGATTTCTTTATATTCAAGTTATATCTGCAGAATAAAATTGCAAAGACAACCCATGCTTTGCATTTACTTATATTATATGTTACGTAGTGAGTAACTAAATCCAACAAAGCTAGCAGAAGATAGTTGTCTATATCAGGTGGGTTTAACTGGAACTGATCTGGTCCTTATCATTGTCTTTGAGATCATATACTGTTTGTCTGTCATCTTAAAAAGTTGCCTTTGGCATCAGATTGGTGTTAAAATAGTTCCTTTTAATTATATGGCCAGTACTGAAATTTTAAAAGCTGATAAGCTCTGATTTATACCTAACTTGTTCATCTATCATTCCTTCCCAGAACTTTTGTTTTACTGATATATAAATATTTAGTCCTGGAGTGTCTCTTTCTCCATCTACGTGTGTGTATAAATGAGTATTCTGTATATATGAAAAAAATTACGATTTGAACAGCCTAGAACATAACCTCTCTCCTTGAAGTGCTCTCAGGTAAAGGGAGGGATTCCTCATGCAGCAGATCAGACAATTTATAAAATACATAACATTTTTAGAGGGAGTTATTCCATGCTATTTCGGAGCATCAGAAAACATCTCAGTTTGAGTGATCTGAATAAAGGATGATAGGTTTTGGGGGAGGAGGCAGAGAGGACTGGAGATACTGGAGTTCTGAGTTTTCTACAAGTGTGGGAGCAGCATGGGAAGGAAATATGTTGGATTAGTGGAGGTATCTGTACATCGCAGTTGGGGTCATTACTATTGAATATGAGGAGACCCAGTCAAAGACCAACGGTGTAAGTTTTATCTGAGAGAGGGCTGTACATGGCCTGGAAGAGACCTGGAAGGTGTTTAGACCTTACAGCTTTGATAAATGTGAGTGAATGGATAGATGAAAAAGATACTCTTGGAGAAACAGCTTATTTTGGTAGTGAAGAAGCATAGAAGATTTGAAGATGGTCGTGTATCTAGGCCGTAATATATCAGAATTATGTCTCTTTGGTCCCTCAAAACAATATGGAAACTCGTATTTATATAAAAGCTGATGGTATTTGTACATTTGGGGTGAGGAATAAATCGGTGATGCTGGGAAAAGTGTTTCACGTAACGTTTCCACAGCTGGTTTTAAATGTTCTTGTAAAGTAACCCAGTGTTGTCCCGTGTGCCACTGACAGTCTTTTTGTAGTTCAGACCAAACACCCGTTTCATTTAGTTCACAAATGACCAATGTTGCCTGATTTTCTTTCTTTTGTCTCCTTTCCTCTAGCTTGTACAGCTTCTGGAGTCTGAAACCATGCAACTAGAAGCCTTTCTGGAGTGGAAGCAACTGGAACCAGTTTATTGGCAGTGGATGGTAATGAATCAAACTGATTTTGAAGGGTGCAGCTTTCTTGGCTGTAACAAATAGCTGACCACTTCCAAAGGCCCCTTCCTGCAAAAATAAATGCTGCGAACCAACTGTTCAACAGCACTTGAGAAAAAGGAAAAAAACCTTTGGTAAAGCAAGGCATGTTTTCTTAGTTCTCCTCCATCCCTCTGTTTTATTCCATCAGACTCACCCAGCTAAGCTGAGACATTGCAGGGCAGAGTGGCAAAATTTCATATAGTTAACACAAATGAAATTGTCTGATCTTCATCTCTTTAATGTTTTTTAAACATGGCAATCATACATTTTCTTAAAATTAAATGGCTTTTCAGAAGAGGGCCTCTAAGCTTTATTGCAGACTTGAGAACAACTAAATTTGCAAGCAGCTGATATTGAAAACAACTTCATTTTCCCCAGCCAAATAGTGTGTTGAAATTGCTGATTTCCCCTTGAACTGTGTTGAATGATCATAAGAAAATCAATAAGCCTTTCTCTGTGCATCTTACTATTTCTCAAGTGAGTGTAAACGGTACCATCCATCTCAATTCTCTCTACAGTGGAAACTTTTGCCCATTCACAGTTGCTGAAAATAATTCTTTAGAGCACCACGTTAGCTGTATGAGTTTTCAAAATTTTGAGAATCAGTGAGCTGACTGTTAATTGCCCATATGCCTTGTTCTATATTAAAAGCAAGGCACAGGAGTGTTAAAATTACCTCACCTGTCTGGAAGACTGCTTCCATTGCAGAGCAATTAAAATTGCCGTTAGTTCTATAATGGTTTTTGCTTTACATGTCTACCATCTTATGGTTGTTTGGAAAGCATCAACACTAGCAGAAGCCTGGCTCCAAATAGGCAAAATATAAATGCAAGTGTTATGGCATTTCAGCCTATCTACCAAAACCTTTGCCTCTGGCATGTTGAGCAGGGTGGAGAATATTGGCAGTGTTAGTGTGCTTCTGGGAGTTAAGTCCTAAATAAATACTTAGAAAAAACCCGACCAGCACATCTTTTTAAATTGTTCAACAGGCTGGATGGCAAATTTCCTTTTTCTTTTGTTTCGCTGATGATGGTGGTTGTTCCCGCATGGTGTAGGATGTACGGGAATGAGATGTGCTTTGAGGATACAGCAGTTTTCTCTTTCCACTTAACCCGTGTTATGCATTGCTGATCTGACGGATGGGATGATTCTTGCATAGCTACTGCCAGGTCTTCCCGAGGGTTGTGGGCAGCAGCATAACAGAGCATGACATAACTACAGCAACTGGAGTGACTGCAGTAATGTTACTTTAAAATTCTGTCATGTAATAAATTTCAAATTAAAAAAAAAACCAAAAAAACAAAAACAACCCAGACCAGGAAAAACTACAAAACCAAAAATCTTTGTTTTATTTCCATGCAGTTTCTTAGCCTGTTGGTACCCAGAACATCTCTGTGTTGTCATGAGCTGAGCCTGTGGTCAGCATGAGCTGCTGGCCTCAGCGCTGCTTGTGCCAGTTTGCAATGCTGATGCTCGCTGAGAAAGGAGGTTTTGTAGGGTGTCTTTTGGCATTCTTAGCTATCTTACAAAGTTTTTTCTTGTATAAGCCTGAGAATTTCTTGCTGTGAATTAAGCCAGAGTTTTTAAGCTACCTGCAGCGAAGAAAGAGGAGGGAAAAAACCCTACCTCCCATCCTCTTTATAGCAATCTTTTATATAAGTGAAGGCTGTTAGCATGTCACTGCCTTCCCAGTCCCTGTTTCTAGGCTAAACAAAAGTGGTTCTCTCAATGTCTCCTTGTTGGCCATTCATTCAAACTTCTGATGGCTGTTGCTGCTCTCGTATGGGACTTTCCTTCCCATTTGTCTGTGTTTAACTTCAGGTACCTCACCCGTACGTCAGTGTTACAGTCAGCGCTCTTCTATCATGGAGACTTGTGTTTATACTTTCTAAAATGGTACTTGACTTTAACAGTATGACATTGCTGACTTCTGGTTTTCTGACCTCTCTTCCAGCAGTGTTACTGCTGAGCCAGTAATTATGTATTTGGTTTTGCCTTGCCCATGTGTAGACCATGCTGCTCAACTGCTGAATTTCCTCTTGCTGTTTTCAATTGACTTCTCCAATTTCTAAAGATAATTTTGAATGCAAATTATGTCTTTAAAAGAGAATATGACCTCTCCTATTTAATGTCTTCTTGATAACAATATGGAAATAAATACTTAATACTCTTTGAGTGGGAGGCCTGGGTCTTTTAGTGATGCTCTGCTACCCTGGCTTGAAAACTGTGTTTCTGCATAATCTGTGCACCACGGTGTATAGCTACACACATTTCAAGGACTCTGAAATTATTTAGGTACATGCATTTCAAGGACTCTGAAATTATTTGGTGTATTTCAAATAACAGTTGCTATCCCCAAAGGCAGTTGCAGAATTAATTATAGCACCAGCAAAGGTGGTCATGGTCAAGCAGAGCTGACAGAGCTCCTGACCAGCCGGGAGCAGGGATCTCTTGGGGTTCCTCAACTTGTAGAGTTTTACACAAGTGATCCTGTGGGTGTTACAACTTGCTGTGCCACACAGCAGATGGGGTTCTCCTGAACAGTCTTAAGCACGTATCTCCTTCCTGGCCATCACTTTGTTACCATAAGCCACAGAAGTGCATCCAACCTCAGAGTCTGAGGGGAAAGGGCATATCTAGAGCTTCTGCAGTACTGGTGATCTCTGTCCCAGGAGTGTTACTTTATGCTTTAGTGCAGCTCACAGTATGCAGTGCTTTCTAAAATAAGCTAGGTTAGTAACATAAGTTTCCTGTTAACTTAGAAATATGTTATAGTGAACTGAGGAGGTTATCGCTTAAAATAGTTCTGAAATTGTGGAGCAACTGTATATTGAGATGGCAGCAGTGAATTCCTAGTTATGAATTACCAGGAAGATGTGGAGGAGGAA